CGTCTGAAACCAAAGACATTTTTGTTTCCTACAACAGAGATGTCCGAGTAGTACATATGAGCAAAATACAGGTGGGAAGGAAAAAAAGACAATAGATTCAGACACAATCCTTTTCTCAGCACAGAACTTACTGAAGCACCAGAACAAAAATGATTATTGGGATAGGTTGATAAATGGTTTTGGGTTGCCAAAACTGAAATGTAAATAACAGGGTAACAGGTAATCCATTATGCCATCACTTTCAACGTTACTGACAGAGAACCAGGATGCTTCCTTAGCGATTCCCAAGAATTTGTACTAAAAACTACCTAATGTTGTCTGAACTGTGGCTGCTCTTCTCAGGAAAAGGTAACAGCAAGTATCTCTGAAGGTCAACCTGGTTACATCAAACCAATCTGTGGGGTTAGCAGAGAGGTGCAAAGCGTGCTAAGTAGAAGACCCCCTTCACTGAATACACTCTCAACCTTTCTACCTGAGCTTTTATTGTGGGACTGACTTCTAGAGTAGAATTCCAGCTAAACCAACTGTACAAGACAGAACAGAGCTATGTATGAACTGTAGAAAATTCCATATACAATACATGTATTCAGCTTCTTTTTGATTGACTGAAAGATTATTTCCTTTACAAGGCTTACAAATATTTGATATTTTACATACATGTGCAGCAGCTTTTTTTACTTTGCAGTAGGCTGGGAAATACTAGCTGCACTAGGACCTGTTTTGGGGTGTAGAAAGGGATCCTTTATAAACTGGAATGTCTGGGATTTAAAATGAATTAACATTTCTCTTGCTCAGATCATTATCCATGAAAAAAAAATGAAGAGTCTGCTTGTGTTCTGGCTACCAACCATATTCAGACAGACACAATATTCTATAGAAAGGTAAATAAGAAACCATATTTTCTTACATATTATGTACACCTTTAAAAAAACAGATGTGGAAATTGGAGTGTGGATTATAAATGAGGAAACATGGTAACAGCAGGTTCTGTTGCTTAAGCTTTGGCTGGGAAAAAGCAAAAGTAATGTCTGCACATGTTTCACAGGGAGCAGAACAATGTGCAGGCTTGGCTCCCTAGCTGCTGCTACTCAGTTACTACAAAGAAAGATATTCTTTGTTCATTCTGCCTATCAAAATCAAGGTATGTATCTTATTTTCGGGCATGTTGTATGTGAGAAAATATGGTACACAAACTCCCTATCTTATAGCCAAAGATTTTAGAAAAACAGTCAACTTATTTTATCCAAAAGAGAACTTAATCACAGACTACAGTGGAGAAGAGATATCTGGTGGTGGATGGTGTCTAATGGGCACAACAAGCCATAAAGCGATCCAGCGGTTTACACAGGCAGATTGATTTGTAATTCAGAACACACAAAAACTGATTTATGCTGCAATTAACTGGTATGGGCTAAGGCAGATAGAGAATATTAAATGTTTAACAAGTTAAGTACAGGGTTAGCATCTTCACTTCCATAGAGCCTCTTACTAGCACAATCGCTGGGCCCGAGCTTGTGCCTTTTCAGTCACAGTCCATGCTGAAGGCAACTTGCAAACATGCTGCTTGAACACGAGCTCTATATACACAACTTCATAAGGCCAGGTCTTTGGGGACAATTTTGCTGGTGAGGGCAGCATAAGGCTATGCTCCTATCCTTTGCCAACTTTGGGGAGACTAGTGCTAATGCCTTCCCTAGCCTTGTGGAGTCATGTTTGGATCTCAACAATTCCCAATAAAGCACCAAAAAGAGATGTGGACAAGAGCTAATTTAACTCACACTGGGGCTGATTAGTGCAGAAGTGGACGAATGTAACTGGCTCTCTGAAGATGCCGCTAATTTCACCTCCTGAAAAGGGCTCTGACATGACAGAACTGAGCCAAGGGCCAATTCAAGCGCAACAGACATAACAGAAGAGGAGAACAAATCTGCATTGGCCTGTCACAAAACTTTCCAACCTGATATCCACCACTATTATTTTAAGTATAAAATGAGCGCTACAGTTCTCTTGACTCAGGCAAATAATAACAGTAATACTGCTACTGAAGTCCTAATACAGTCCAACGGTGGCAATTTTCACATCTAATAATTACACGCAATTTCTGTAAGAATGTTTTTATAACCTTTAAATGGTTGTTAAAGCATGTAGGTGATATTACATGTAGCTACATTTCCATTTATTTATATGGCCAAATGCATGGTTTGGTCTGTGTATTAGGTAAAACAGCAAGACAACTGAAAATATTTCTGAATACAGTAGAATCATTAGTAACCCACACAGACAGATTTGAGTGATTCATACATTTTGCAGCCAGAAAGGACCTTTATGATCATCAAGTCAGACCTCTTTTATAACACATGCCATAAAATTTTCCTGCAGAAATTACTGGGTAAAACCCCATAATCTATTTTTGACTTTAGCCTATTTAATAAGAGGGACATCTAGTCTTGAGTTACAGACTCAGTGATGGAGAATCTACCTTTGAAAAATTGCTAAAATGGCTAATTATACTCACTTAAACATGTGTGCCTTAGTTCTAGTCTGAATTTGTCTACTCTAGCAGAAAACGAAGGCAGGGCAGCGTAGCACTTTAAAGTCTGACTGGTTCAGAGAGGCATAGGCTTTTGTAGGCAACAGCGTGCTTTGTCAGATGATAACAGAGCTAACTGCTTCTCTGTAGTAGATAAAAGGTACAGCGAGATGCAGTGGTTATAAGGTGAAACTCAAGAGTTACTCTATGTTGGAGATCTTTTCCTCATCTACGTACTGTGATTGAGATACCTCTTAAACTTCTCTTGAATAAACAAGATGGAACTTCTAAAATCTCTCACTCTATGGCAAGCTTGCCTGACCTGGATCATTCTTCTACCTCTTTTAAAAAAAAAATTCTAACTTTCTTATCCTTTATCATTTTTCATCATTATTTTTTAAATGTGAACACAGTATGCCAGTATGTCTCTCACACGCCATAAACAAAGGCATGTGAGAGACTTACTTGTTCCTAGCTGATATGTTCTGCTGTTCATGTGTTCAGCGACGGTGTTTGCCTTCTAAGCTACATCATTACACTGAGAACTCCTGTTCAGTTGGTTACCTACAATTTGTATACTTTTCAGCATCACTTAATTCCTGGATATAGTCTCCTCATCATGTAAGAAGGAACAAAATACAACATTCCTGTGTATATGACCTTGCTTTGGGCTGTATTAATATGCATGCTACTCAAATGAACCATCCTTACCAGGCAAGTTAGATTTCTTCATATAACTAGCTTATCCTTATCACTATTTATCACACCAGCACTTTTGTGTTGTCTACAAACTTCATCAACAATCATCTTGTATTTTTCATCTAAGTGAGTGCCTTTAAGATTTTTTGGAAATGAATAGCTTTGAAAAATGTAGGTGAAATGGCCAAAAAGCAGAGAATCTAGAACAACTGATCTTTATACAGATGTTTGCCAGGCAAGGTTTAACGTGATCAGCAGGGATCCTGGTTTTCTCCGATAAAAAATATCCCAAATTTTTGGATATAAAAAAAATAACCCTAAATCAATATTTTTCCATGGTTAAAATGAAATGCCACTAATATATATATATTAATCATGTAAAAATGTGGATTTAGGGTTATTTTTTTATACCTGAAAATTTGGCATATTTTTTTATCAGAGAAAAGCAGGATCCCTGCTGGTCACTTTATACCTTGTCTTGCAAAATCCAAAAATTTGGGATTTTTTTTTCACAGAAAACCAGGATCCCTGGTGATCAGCAAAGGAAAAAAAATAGGCTCTGTTTCTTTTGAAACTTTTGACTGTGATTAACGAAGTATGAAAGTTTGGGGTTTTTTCTGGCAGAAATTCAGATCTTGTCACCCTGGTTTTTCTCCCAAAGATTGTATGGAAGAATGTAACATGTAGGATTATGTTACCAGACAAATGCAGTGAATAAAACTTAACTGATCAAGGTAGGTGCAAGCCTTTGTTAATTCTCTTTAAAATTCTTTATATTTTATTTTAATCTCTTAAGTCATATTAGAAAAGCTTAAAAAAAGGTTTTCACTAAAGACTTGATAACCTTGCTCCTACAATTTCACACAAGGGTTTGTCAAGAATGAACTCCAGCAAAACAGGAAATCTCGACTTGATGCTCTCTTTGTGTCCCAAGCAAGGTGCTAAGGTACTCTGTGGTGCCTTGAGATCCTTTTAGGGGTGCCCTGGGGAGCTGCGCAATGTTAGCACTGTTAAGTGTGCAAAAATGATTCAGAAGGTACACCCGGAGATTTCAAATAGGAATCCATGGTGTCAAAAATATTCTGACCTGTTTTGGGCTTCCTGAGTTCTTTGCAACACTAGAATTTCTCTATTATTTTCCTATAGTGAGTGAAAGATAGGAACTGCCATTTTCTGAGGGGTGTCTTGAGTCTAAAAAGGTTGAGAACCACTGGTTTAAGGTTATAAAAGACTCCCATGCCTTGTTTTATCCATCATAATAAAGTAGAGAAGGCTGACACTTATTTTTTTAAATTTAATTTGGGGGTTACTTTTAAGTGACGTGGGACTGAGGACCTTTCATCAGAACTTGGGGCAGTGCAACAGGGGAAGAAGTAGAATCCTCTCCCATCCCAAAGTGCTGGTGTCTGTGGGCATATTCGTGTGTGTACTGAGTTCCTTGGCTTAAACAGTTCTCCTTCAAAAAATACACAAAAAAACCCCAAATAAAAATCCAAAACCAAAACAAAACAAAAAGCAAAACAACCAACATATTTTATAACCTAATTCTCAAAATAAATCAGAATCTCCTCTCCTGCAGTGTTCAGTGAGTCCTAAGAACTGTCTAGCATTATTTTTTCAGGTTGCTAGCAACAGATTAAAGCCTATGTTTCCTTCCATGGATGAATAATATTCCTTGGCTAGACAGAGCGATGAAATACTTTTTTCCACTGCTGGACACAGCCTGTGCAAATACTCATTACCACTAAACTCCTGGCACAGTTATAATTACCTTAAACTTGTGCTCGTAATTCTCAAAGGCTTCCATGACCATGCAGACAGCCTCCATAGAGCGCTCCAGTCGACCATCAACCCCATTAAAGCGGTACATGCTGCCAGAAACATCTACTACCAGGCGTAAACATTTAGGCTTCTGCTGGGGGCTCCCAGGCTAATACAGACAAACAATACAAAGAGAATCTTATGAATGAGAAAGTTGCAGTTCCCTTAAGAACAGAGCATTTAAAAAAAAGAAATCATGTACTTTACAAAAACAGTAGGCAACAAAATCTCTCTTCCTGTATGAAACCATAACTATCTGTATCTAGCAAGTTTGGCAATTAAAAAAAAATCCTTTCTATTTCTTTGAATTTTTTTGATTACTTGTTCAGAAACAATTACTATATTTACTTGAATACATGCTCAGGTTCCCCCCCTCATCAGCATCGCGAAAAAAGACCCTTGTTTTATATTTGCATACAAGAGAACCTCATTAAATATACTGACCATCATTTAAACGCTTGCCAAAAGCAGCAGTAATAGACATGAAGTATGAAATTGATTAAAAGCAGCCAAACCTGAGTGTGACTATAACACACGTGGACCATGTTGGGCAAACATGCAGATTTATTTAAATTTTTTAAAGAAATTTTTCATGTTCCAAGCCAAATTAAGTCCAAATCCATGAGCTAGTCCAGAACCATATGTGGCCCTACAACTAGCAAACATCCTCTACCCCCACCAGGGGCTTCAGATGTTTCCAATGTCTTTTGGTCAGTATCCTATGTGCAGACCCAAGCCCAGAGGCTTGGGGTTTGGATGCCCTCAAGTTTTGCCTGCCCTCAGCCATATGACTGAAAGAGCAAGCTACAGAGGAACCTCCCATTTCCATAAAATGGGATTTAAACCCCACACCTCAGCAGGTACCACACCATGCCAGAAAAACAACACGCAGCTGGGAATCTATCCCAAGGACAGGTTAGTGCAGCCCATCTGATTAAGATATATGGTAGTGCCCACTGAGTGCAGTCCCTCTCAGAGCTCTTTTTCAAGTCTTGGTGAGCCACTACATTGTATATATTTCGACTTCTTCTCGACTCCGACACCTGAGCTGTGCCTTTCTTTCCTATTTCTAATGACTCCTGTTTCTCCAACAGCCTTAAATGTCTGGCGAATATCACTAAACAAGGCCCCAAACAGTTCACCCAGAATATCTCTGTTGCTCCCTCCCTCATCCTGTTGCATACGATCAGTGTGGCCCTGCCCACCATGAGGTGGAGCCAGACCAGGTTGCCCTGTGCCTTCTCTGCATATACAATTTAGGAGAATCCCAGGACTCATAGCAAGAACATCCAGTTCCAGTTATGAGTGAGGAGCTAATTAGCACATGGATCCTTTGTGGGGGGGGTGTGGAGTACACTCACACATTGAGCAGTGTTGAGCTGTGGGGTCCTCGTGGCTTGAAATGCTGTTCACTTTGCTGGGGCCCAGTTCAGTGACCTATACAGTAAATCGTGAGCCTTTTGGCTTTGGACTAATATGATACATAGTTTGTACTATATATAAGTAGGTACAAAAGTGCTGCTGAAAAGTGTTTATGGAGCATCTGTGCTAAAACTTGCACCAGTTTCAAAAAAGGTAAAATGTATCAATTCCGGAGAAACTAAGTTTATGAGTTCTATACGCAAATTACAAGTATGTTTATTTCCAGGTCTGTGTTTTCAAATTCGCACTTCACTTCCAAGGAGCTACACTGTTCTCAGTGGTGGTAGATGACAGAACAAGGAGCAATGGTCTTAACTTGCAGCAAGGAAAGTTTAGGTTAGATATTAGGAAAAAAACTCTCTCACTAGGAGGGTAGCAAAGCACTGGAATAAGTTACCCATGGAGGCTGTGGAATCTCCATCCTTGGAGGTTTTTAAGACCCAGCTAGACAAAGCCTTGGCTGGAAAGTTCTAGTTGAGGCTTTGAGCAGGGGTTGGATTAGATGGCCTCCTGAGATCCCTTCCAACTCTCATTTTCTATGTTTCTGTGTGTTCAGGGAGAGAAAGGTCTTATAGTAACGAGAAGAGGAAGGAGCTGTAGTGGGAAGAAGTGGAAGAGGAGGTAGAGGCCAAGGCGGCTACCTGACCCCCCCAGATTTATTTTTCCTGCTGTAGCAGTGAGAGGGAGACAACTTCAAGGCAAACCTCCAGTAGTTAGATTCTGTACCTAAAAACTTATAACAAATGTATAAATGTTCCAAATATAGAATCTAATTATTGGGGGGTTGTCTTAAATTCAGGGCATCTTATATTTGAATAAACACAGTATTTCAGATAGCTGAATTCAGCCTCTCTCTTTTTTCCCCTTTGTTTTATTTACTGTGACTGAAAACAAAATACCAGGAAAGATTCCACACGTGCTTGTAGGAAAATGATGGATTATTAACATTTTACTTCAATAGAACGACTCTCAAATTGGTACTTGCTGCCAAGAGCCATGAGGGAAATGTTTTCCCTTGACTTATGGCTCTAAAGAGAAGTCTCATAAAACTGCAAAGCTCGTTTGCTAAAGTTAATACCTTCTAAAAATATTTGAAACTAGCTTTGAGTAGCTTCTCAATCTTGTTCTTTCTGACCATACAACTAATATCCTTCTGTTAAAAAGATTCACATCTGTTTCAATAATTTCTAGCACACTAGTTTCTGAAACAATATTTCTATACCAGATGCAATGAGACAAATCTGGATCTAAATACAAGGCCAATAGAAAATGGTCTGGCAAAAAAAAAAATTAAAAACAAATACTTAAAATAGTTCTTTTATCTGTAAGTGATTTCCAAATATTTCCCTTTCACTCAATGCCTGTTCTTTTTGGTTTAGTTCATTTTTTTAAATTATTAATGCAATCGATTGCATAAACTCTCTTCTACCAAAACCCACATATCATTAACTCAAAATTCGACGTTACTACTTAAATACTTTTCACTACTGGACAAACTATTTTACAGTGCCCTGAAATATATAAATATAGCATTCTGAAAAGTTTTGATAATTAGGATATAACATCTTTTCCCTTACTCATCTATGAAGTGGGATGCCTAGGCTCCATATACTTTTCAAATCAATAAAAAAGGAGGGCCATATAGTAGGAAAAATAATACTAGAGAGTTATTAAATCTCTACTTAGTTGGTGTGAGAAAACAGCTGTTCTAAATGCTCATCTGAAAGAAAAATTCCTTAGTGACATTAATAATAACAATCTGCCATAGTAAATGTTACTATTAAAATACATGAATGATTTAGGTAAGCAGCTGTAAATCAGGTGTCACCTTGTTTCTGTTAAATCAATTCATACAAAGATACATCAGAAAAAAAAATTGATTATGAGTCAACACAGATTTTAGGCTTTAATTATTCTCTCATCCTTTTTCTCATTTGCTTTTTCTTTTTTGAATTTGCAAATCCAGATTTCCAACGGAGATTTTTCATATCATGAGAAAGGAGGAGAGGTCTGTCATAGCCATTTAAGCATATTTAAACATGCCATTTGTCTTTATCAGGCTGGCATACTGAGAGTTACATTAATGTAGCAGACAGTCCCTGAAAAGCGCTTTGTTCTTTCTAGCAGCCTGTTTCAATAGAACTTGCTCACAGGCACGTGCATATGAAACCAGGGTGGTCAACCCACAGCATGTGTGCGACAAGTGGCATGGGCAGCCTCTGTGTGGGGCACATGGTAGATTAGAGAAGGGACAAGAAGTGCAGGGCAGATAGGGCAGGAAGCTGAACGCAGATGGAGCAGGGAGCATGGGAAGACAGTAGAAAGCAAAGCAGCAGATTGGGCAGAGGAAGGAATTCAGAGTGACACTCAGGGATGGCAAGGGGCTTAATTTGTGGCTCATCTTCCATAAAGGTTGCCCTCTGTTATACACAGGCACACAAGGAAGCAATAAACTTGCTAACTGTTTAGTAGATACTCACCTGTGGCTCAAGTTCTCCCCTTCGTTTATAAATGGCCTTTTCTCCGGTCAGTCCATCAATTATTTTGGCATCATCTAGCTCTCCAACAGCTTGGTGTTTCACCCATTGCCTTTCTTTACCTTTGGCCTATAAAATAAAAGCATCCGTGATACATTCCCTGATGGTGGTACAGTGTACATCAGGGGCTGGCAACTTACAGCCTGTGCGCTGGATCTGGCCCGTGAAGAGACTGGATCTGGCCTATGGCAATTCAAGGAACTGGCAGCAGGCTCCAGCCACAGTAGCAGAGGCAGTGTCCCCAAGGTCCCCAGCATCATAATGCTTGTGATGTTCAATTTATTGTCTCTGCTGCAGCAGAGGCAGTATCTCCTGGGTCCCATCGCCTGCCTTCTTTTTAGTTTATTCCCTTTGCAGCATCTGTTGGTTGTTGAGGAGGTATGGGGGTGCAGCCTATGGTGGGGATTGTGTCACAAGCAGTGGCCTGTGCTGGCAAAAGGTTACCAACCCCTAGGTTACATGACTTAAAAAATATTTAGACCATGACATACAGGCAGGTTTACCTTGTACTTACGTAACGACTCAGTAAAAGTCAGTAAAATCTGAATGCATTTTTATAAGCATCCTGGTCCCTCTGGTTGAGAGAGAAATTATTACTGATAAAGAATATTCCTGACTCTGCTTCAATTTCTGTCTCCTTTAAGCCTTTTCACATAATGGGATTCTAAATTTGGACCATGAAATGCTAGCAGTTTTAATACAAGTGTACTGGAAAGTGGTGCACAAATGAATCAATGCAGAAATGCACAGAACCAGAGTCATGCAACACTGTAATGTTTGTTATGAGTTTCCCATCCAAGAAAATGTAAAAGATAACTAAAACTGGGAGATTAAACTTAACAGGAACAAGAAAGATATAAGGGTTGGCAACCTATACCCTGTGGGGCAGATTTGGCCATGGAGCCATTTTATCTGGCCGTTGGAGCTGGGGCAGAGGGGAGTTCTGCGGTGTTTCAGTGGTGAGACGAGGTGGTGACTATGGCTTTGGCTCTGGCTCTTATGGTGGTGGCACAAGCTGAAGTGGAAGCATCCTACGCTCAGATCCATGATCTGTGAAAGTGGCCCCCCACTGCAGAACACTCCCAACCCCTGAACAGCAATACCCCAACACTGCTGGAGAACTCTGTTACAGCCTGTGAGTGGATCCCCATAGAGCAGCATTCATAATCATCTCTGTGCAAGCAGCAGCAATTAAAGTGCATTAAATGCACATTTTACAACCTTGACTATCTGCAATTTGCTTGAGATACAGATGTTCCATTCGTTAGAGATCAATCCAACAGTTCACAGGCTGGCAAAACTCCCACTGAAGTAAACTCAAAAGACTGAGGACTTGAGTACTTAAATTACAAATGACATATTTAACAATTTCAAAAGGGTAGTTTCACTATCATTGAAGTCCTCAAGAAGGTAGCACAGTCTATGTGCTGAATAAGTGGGAATTTCATGTTTCACTTAATTTATGGTTGGGTTCACAGCTTTAAGCAGTTGGACCTGGCAGCAAGACTGAGATATTCATGTGAAGGAACAGATTTACTGATACGTGTGTGTGACATCTCCAATTCATCACAGGTCAGAAGCTAGCAGTAAATTAGACACCTCGAAGAAATGGATTTAGGATAGGCATTATGGGCCTCTATGCCTAGTATTCTAATGATTATGAGGATGACAGTATTTGTATCTTTTTAGTGGTCTCTCATTGCCTTCCTAGACAGTGACTCACTCTCTCAAATGATGGAAACCTCTGCTTGTCTTCTTTTGAAATTACCTCTTATCATAGGTTTTCTGAAGCAGGAACCAATTCGTTGTCAATCCCAGACAAATTCAAGCTGCTGGCCTGGAGTTTGAGAGGATGGCTTCTTGGAACTATATGCACTCTGCACATCTAGTTGATGGGCTACAATCCAAACTGTTCTGCCTCTTAACTCCCTAGCTGCATCTGGTCAAAACACTGCTATGCTCAGTTTGAAATTAGATCAATCAAAAGATCTGCCTTTGTATCCTAATTCATAGATTAATTAAAGGCACAGACCTTGGAATCAATGGCTATTAATTCACTGTTTTTTCTTCTCTGTCAAAGTAGATTTATTTCTGGAAGAATTACTGAATTAAATGCCTTTATTTATTTTTTCATGATAGTGGCACATTAGATCTTCTACCCAAAGTTCTTTTTCTTGAACTTTTAATGAGGATGGATATATATTATTGCCTAGACAAGTAAATCATCGATCCAGAATGCATGCGTGTATGTGTAGCATATCATTCTTGCACCCAAGTGCTATTACCTTGCTGAGTGATTCAATTCAACTTGGACAGATCTGCAAATCAAATTATTTAGGCTTCTCTCCTTACATTTTACAGCCTCAGGATCTGCAGTTTCTCATCCTGCTCTGATTTGCTTATTGTCCTACTCTCTCATCTGAATTTCTAAGTCAGCGTGGGCAAAATGGCAGATTTGGCCAGCAGCCAGACTCCATTTCCCAGCAGCCCCAGCTGGCATGGTTGGGACTAGTCTCCATGGAGACTCCAGATGCAGCTGCACTGTGATAGTGCAAGGCTGGGGTTGCCATGGAGACCAGCCCCAGTCACGCTGGTAGGGCGCGCAGCAGGGCACAGCAGGGGGCTGCTCCAGAGCTGCTGGGATCTTGCAGCGGGGGCAGTTCGGTCAGGGCCAGGGCAGAACCGCGATCTGCAAGCCTGCATGCTCCAGGCAGGGGTGTGCAGGCAATGGCTTGCACCTCTGCCCTGGCTTGGGACCATGCTGTCACTGCTGCAAGGAGCTGGGGCAGAGCCACAATCCACTGCCTGCACACCCCTGGCTGGAGTATGCAGGCTGCAGATCGCAGCTCTGCCCTGGCCCTGACCAGGCTGCCCCTGCCACAAGATCCCAGGAGCTCCAGAGCAGCCCCCTGCCCTGCTCTACCCTGCCCTGCCCTGCACCCTACCAGCATGGCTGGGGCCAGGCTCCATGGCAACCCCAGCTTTGCTCTATAACAGTGCAGCTGTGGCTGGGGTCTCCATGGAGACCAGCCCCAGGCATGTGGGCAGGCGCTGCTGGGAAATAGAGTCCACCACCAGCTGGATACGGCTTGTGGGCTACACTTTACCCACGCCTGTTCTAAATGGCTTTCTAATTCCCAGTAATTGTTCTAGACTGATGGCTTACTTGTCTAGGCAATAAGTTAGGTATCTTAGAATGAATTTACCAAAATAGTTTTCAAAAATGACAGGAACCAAGGGAAGTAGGACCCAGGGGAAGCCCAGTGGGCTCCAACAACAGTTGGAAGTTGGCCCGCCCGCCAGCTGGAAGCTCCTTCCTGGATTTTGGGCTGGAAGCAGGTGGCTGCCCTGGTGTGGGAAGCTCAGGTAAGTGGGGGGGAACCTCCGCAGGGAAGGAGCGTGGGGGAAAACGGCCCCTCCCCACCCACGCCCAGTGCCCTGTGCTGTAGCTGCTTGCAGCCCGCATGGGGCTGCCTGTGCCTGCTCTGGACAGCCCCATGCAGGCTGCGAGCGCCTGCAGCGCGGGACACTGGGTGTGGGGCAGGGGAGGGGGCGCTTCCCCCCTGCGCTCAGCTTTTCCCTGGGCTCCTTCCCTGCATGGAGAAGAGTGGCTCCTCGCCTGCCCCATGCTCAGCGCCCCGCGCTGCAGGCACTCGCAGCCCACGTGAGGCTGTCCAGAGCAGGCACAAGCAGCCCTAGGCAGGCTGTGAGTGGCTGCAGCGCTGGGTGCTGGGCATGGGCCAGGGAGGGGCTGCTTTCTCCCCCCACGCCCACACTCAGCACCACCTTGTAACCTGGCCCCACTGCCAGGCTGGTAGTGGGGCGGGTTACAAGCTGGTGCTGAGCGTGGG